ATAAAACAAAATTACAAAACCAAAACACTTCTACCAAGGACAAAACACATTTACATTTTACAAAACAAATTGACAAGATGTAAAACAGTTTTACAAGCACTGAGACAGATTTACAAGTGGCAGAACACTTTAACCAGTCCCCAAAGAAATTTACAAACGACAGAAAGGGAATGTACCAAATGAATGAAGTGATTGAGTGAGGGGTCATTTTGTTTGTTTTGGCGGAAAGACTTGGTGGATAATTTAATTTTAATTATTTTATAAATCTTTATGTTAGTCATATATGTATACACATAAGATTATATTCATGTCTTTAGGTCTCGGTTCTGGATGGAGTTATTTGCAGACCTCTACTTCAAAAGTTCGAGAAACCGTCCACAGGAAAAGCAATACTGAGTAATCAGGCTCAAAGGAGTTCCACAAAACAGGCAAAACATCTTTATAATAATAATAATAATAATAATAATAATAATAACTTTATTTATATAGCACCTTTAAAAACACAGGTTTACAGTGCTTTGACAAACAGAAAAAACAGGAATAAAGCAAACTAAACCAAACACAGAAGAACATAAACAACAGCAAGAACATAACAAATGCAAAATACTAAAAATAATTAAATACAATTCAACAGAAAAGAACCCATATTGCAAGATACCCAACAGACATATATAACCCGACCATCACAAGAACCATCATAAGAACCCAGGCAACACAAGAACCCAACAACACGAGCTGAGACCAAAAGGACCAAAGATTTTAAAAGATTTAAGAAACTAAAAGAGCTAAAAGCAAATACAAAGATAACAGCAATAAGAAGATAAGAGCAGTAAAAGAAATAGAAACAAGTGGTTAAAGGATAAAAAAAACTATAATATTAATAAAAATAAAAAGTATATATAAATATAAAACATAAATAGACAAAGTAAGTAAGATAAGAAATTACAAAGTTAAAACATAAGAGGAATTAGATAACTTTCTGCCACCACAAACTCCGAATCACAGTCCGCCAAGTCTTTCCGTGTATTCCGTGTCCCTTGTAAATTTGTCTCAGTGCTTGTAAAAGTGTTTCACATCTTGTAAATTTGTTTTATAAAATGTTAGCTGATCGTTTGCACTTACTGACATTGTTTCCTCTTTCTAGATCCTCGCTTGTGTTGTTTTTACTCTCTGATGTACGTCGCTTTGGATCAAAGCGTCTGCTGTATGAATTGTAGAATAAAATGTAAAAGTGTTTTGTCCTTGGTAAAGTGGGTTAGGGTTAGGTTTTGTAATTTTGTTTTATAAAATTTTAAATATGTTTTCAAATTACAAATTTGTCTCAAATTTTGTAAAAGTGTTTCATACTTCTTAATTTTGCTTTGCACTTCACAGCCACCGTATACCTTCGTTAAAAACATTAAACTTGTGCTGCATGTTCAGCTCAGTTTTGCTCCTATAACTAAGAATGCTGATTGTCCAAATGAGGTTTTGCACATTGGAATGCAACAGTTACTGAAGCCCTTGTGTTGACTCTGCTAGAGAGTCCTGATAATCACACAGGGGACAGACAATGCAAACATTTCAAAGTGAATCTGAGATTGCGTGGCCAATGAAGCTTTCAAAGCTAAACATATAATGTTTCTCTAATACACAACATTATTTGTCCATGATTTGTATTGCCTGGATACATAAATAAATTGATTTATAAATATGAGCACTTTTGAATATTTCTGTAAGGATTGATATCCTAACGTTCTTGTATTCTCTTCTGTCATCTTTTTATTTATCTGTGCAGTGTTAGATGTCATTCTTCCCAGATGTTTCTTTGGCTGAAAAAAATCATGCAATTAATTATTTAAAGATTAAGATTCTTATTATTAAGTTGTCAGTTAGAAAATCATGCTCAAATTAAGTTAACTGTATTCCACTGTCTAACATCAGTGTAAATCTAAGATGTGAGAGCACTTACATTTTGTTAATACGTTCCCTGAACTTTTTGCTTTCAACTGCCGTTTACAGAAGCTAAAGTTACACAAGTCTTTTGCAGAAGAGTTCCCTGTGCTTTGCTATGTTGATAATGAAGTAAATAAATTAAGTGAAAAGGAATACTTCTGTCCTGGCAAATGTATTCAGATTGATGCACATAAGATAAATTCCATCCTCACAATCAGCTGTTACTGTCAGAAAAAGCCTCCTCCACTTGGAGCATGAAAAGCAAATTTAGTTTTTTTCTATTCATGTGGCATAGCAACAGCTAGCATAGCAGTGTTCTGAAACTTCACAAGAAATATCAGATCCCCTTTCCTCTGGATTTGGGCAACATTATGAACTTCCTGATGACTCAATCTGTCTAGCAACGATGTGTGGTTGTTATATTTACAGTGATCAATGGCATCAATGTGCTTTCAAATTCATGAACTACCAAATACAAGAAGCTTTGGTCCCACCTGAAAAACCAACGATCAACTCGACGTCGGCTAACCGTCCTGTGTTGGTGTAGCCTCCTTCACCTCCTGCGGCTCCTTTACATCCAGATACTTCTGACCAGGCTAATACACCAACAGCACTTGGTGGTGAGACAAAAATCCTGTTGTCAAAACATAGCTTGGTGTTGCACACACACACACACACACACACACACACACACACACACACACACACACACACACACACACACACACACACACACACAACGAACAAACACACACAAAACCCTAATGTAATTACGTACACATAGAGCATAGTGCATTTTAGTCTTCTGCAATATCAGCTGCCTCATCTAATAGAACGTGTATAAAGTCCTTCATTTCACTGAGCGTTAGAAGGACAAAGTGACTGTGCTGTGAACAATTCATGTAAAATATTGTTCTCGATGTCTTATGTGCTTTTAAAGCTCAGGAAAGGAAGCAAAATGCCCAAAAGGTAACACACAGCTTGAGTTAAACTAGGAGAGCGGATTACAAAAGGCTAAGCACATGAGATTATCCGATTTAGTGTCATTGGAAACCAGATTGGATGGCTGAGCTCCTTATTAGGAAGTAGGATTAACCTGTTAAACCAGGTTTTGATGTTAAGAACAAGTGATGATAAGTATCTCAAACAGCACTGTGTGCACTTGGACACAAATACAAAGTATTGGTGTGAGTGTTTGTTTGCCTTGATTCCATTTTTTCTCTTAGGAAAGACGTGAATCTTGAATTTCTTCTTTTGAGCCAAATATAGTGAGGCTCTTAACAGCAGGATGTGCATCATCTTCAACAATCAGATCACATATGTCACCATAAACAACAACATCTTACAAAGAGGTTACAAAAGGCTCGATGGATCCTGACTGATTTCCTCGATCTGAACAAGGTAGTTGTCTTTCAAAGACATAGGTTTTAAATATTCTATGTTTCAAAGGCGACAAAAATCTATGGTCAAAACCTCAACTTCAATGTTTAAGCATGACACCTTTAAAGCTTTATAATCGAGTTTTCACTGTTGTTGAACAATCACAGCTCTTTGCATTAGTTCAAAAAAGATGTTGACTCTCCTTTATTTGTACTTGTTATTTGTAATTGTAATTTTTTATCTCAGTCAAGAAGCTCCTTCTGTTGTACAACATACATTAATTTAGCATTTGACATCACTTCCATGAAGTGAAATCCTCTGAGCTTCTAACAGACAATAATACAAAAGACTGGTGAAGCACAGAATGAGGAAGTCAATAGTTTTTTTTATTTTTTTTGTAATGATTTGTAATGATTGAAGTATGTCCCACAACAGCACCATCTTTACATTACAATAATCATGTCATTGTAATAGCATTAAAAAATCTCTACAAACACAATGAATTACATTATTAGTTGACACACACACACATTAGTTGGAAAATCTGATTCCAAACGATGTGCTGGATCAAACTTGATGTGATACAAAGCTACATTTAAAATGTGATGTGTACTTTTGTTAATTATTCCACATCACAGTGTGTTAGTTGATGTTGGTCTAGTGGTATTCTGATCTCTTTCATTAAAGTTTGAGTTTCTTCTGCTATCTAATCAGTCAAACAAATAAACATTAAGTCAGACAGTCCTACAAGTTTACTCCTAACATCTGTGATGGTGTATCATAGACACCTGGCATACTGAACCAGCGTCACACGAGAAGCTAATTTATTTTTACTTCAGACATTACTGACCTAATGACTTATAGCAGTCAGTCATCATAGTTTAATCGGCCTCATGGAAGTGATTGGATTGGCCTGAAATCAGATCAGATGGAAGTCTGGGTGGAAGGGGGTAGGGGAGAGACCAGGTGCACCTACAAGGGCAAAAAGGACACAAAACAAAGGTTCGTCTAAGGGCAACAAACTTTTTCAGTGGTCCCTTAGCTGTTTCTTTCCACAGTAGTCGTTCATTGTTTTAGCTGTCACCTTTAAAGTTTTCAAGTCCACTGAACTCCTTTGACAAACAATTACAGTGTTTATTTGGAAATGTTAATAATGCGCCAAGATACATGACTTAAAGCCTGTGGGGATCACTGGGATTACAAAGGGCCAGATGCATTCAATTGACCCCATGAACATCACAGATGATCAGATTATGTACTGTAGTCCACTAACACAGGCCTATTAGACAATAGGATTTAATGAGCTGTTCCATGCCCAGTTTGATACTTATCTCCAAGGTGGTGATTGCTGCTTTGGGAGTTCATCATGTACGCACAAGTGTGTATGGGATGTGTACTTAAGCTTTAAATCCCTTCCTCGTTCCTTGAGCAATCATGTGTGGGACGTGAACAAAAGCTTTAAATCCCATCCTTGAGCCAATTAAGTTGAGCCTAAGCAATATCTAAGTCTCCTATAAATGCAGGTTAATGTCCCATTGAAAAGAAACTGTCGGAGGACAGCACAAAACAAGTTCCTCGGTTTCATTCTGAATTAGATGGAAATCGTTTGTAGATTTCTAATAAAACCATTTTAAACTCTTTTTGAAGAGCGCTCCAAATTTTATTTGACTTTCCAACAGACAACGATGAGGGGACATCGCCAAATGGAGCTCCCAGAGGACTTCTTTATTCCCATCTCTCTGGATACCAACAATATCACTGCACTGAGCCCATTCCTTGTTCCACAGGATCACTTGGGGCACCTAGGTGTCTTTTATGCAATGTCAATTTATATGTTCTTCCTATTTGTGAGTGGAACAACTATTAATGTCCTCACTATCGCATGTACTGTTCAATATAAGAAACTCCGGTCTCATCTGAACTACATCCTGGTGAACTTGGCAGTGGCAAACCTCATCGTTGCCTGTGTGGGGTCGTCCACCTGCTTCTACTGCTTCTCCTTCAGATACATGGCTGTTGGACCAACCGGCTGCAAGATTGAAGGATTTGCAGCAACCTTGGGGGGTGAGGAGCTTCACAAATCAAATAAGTTCAAAATATTTAAATGACAATAAAGGAAAAGGCTTTGTGTATACTAATCTTTGTTAATATATTTTGTAACGTCTGGCAGATATATATTGCCATGAATATTTTTATAAAACACATCAAACCCAACTTTGATTTCATTTAGATTTCCAACTTTGGAACTTGAATGGCTCAGGTTAATAGCTGAGCTTTAAGCTGCTGATAAGTTTTGTTCAACCTTGAATCCACAGGCAAAGGACTATTTTAATACAAGTGTAATCGTTTCATTTATTGAATCAACATGTGACAGCCAATTAAAATTATCATAGGTAAGATTGTAAATCTGACCACAATACCTTAAAGAAACAGCAGAGGACGGTAAGAGTGCTCTGTGATTTAAACCTGGAAGATACTATTTAAAAGAATACGAAACCGACAATTTAGTATAACTGAGTTTGTACAACAAATGTGCAATATGATACGTTTCATCGCAGTGAGTGAACAGTGAAACACATGCATCATTTTTCTGTCCCGTTGCAGGTATGGTGAGTCTGTGGTCTCTGGCTGTGGTAGCATTTGAGAGATGGCTTGTTGTCTGTAAGCCACTTGGGAACTTTGCCTTCAAGTCGCACCATGCTATAGCTTGCTGTGTAGCGACTTGGGTCTTTGCCTTGATTGCCTCAGCTCCTCCTCTGTTTGGTTGGAGTAGGTCAGTATACAGACAAAACACACAACAGATATATTCATTTGAAAACTAGTCTAGAAGACTAATACTTCTTACAAAATAACACTTCTTCAGCAGCTGACTTTTTCTATATTCAAATCTTTATTAGACTCTTGGAGTTCTTGTTAGAATATTAAGTGTTATTTATCCCCCTGCACCAAAATGTGGCGTAAAACCCACCACACCCTTTACTTTGTTTTCTGTCTCTGCAGGTATATCCCAGAGGGCATGCAATGCTCCTGTGGACCAGACTGGTACACAACCAACAACAAGTACAACAATGAGTCCTATGTGTATTTCCTGTTCGGTTTCTGCTTCGCTGTTCCCTTCACTACCATTGTGTTCTGCTACTCACAGCTGCTCTTAATGCTGAAATCGGTAGGCAATACATTTCAGGTTTTCCATTTGTGTGTTCTTAAGTAAAATACAGATTTCATATGTGATGTGTGAGTGTGTCCAACAGACCTTCCACTTTTATGTGCTTCTTCATCAACAGGCGGCAAAGGCCCAAGCTGAGTCTGCCTCCACCCAGAAGGCAGAAAGGGAGGTGACCAGGATGGTGGTCGTCATGGTGCTGGGCTTCCTATTTTGCTGGGCTCCCTACACCATTTTTTCACTTTGGGTTGTCAACAACCGCGGCCAGTCGTTTGACCTGAGACTGGCCACCATACCCTCCTGTATGTCTAAAGCCTCCACAGTCTACAACCCAATGATCTACATCCTCCTTAACAAACAGGTAAGCCTCAAAGTCCGGTATGGATGTAACAATAAAACAGCTGCAGGTGGGAAGAGAACTGTTGGATTAACTGTTTTGCTGAATTTGAAATAGTAACAAACAATAAAGACCACAGCTTGATTCTGAGCATCTTGATAACCATCTTCAAGCTCATGTGCAATTACAAAAAAAGCATTTCAATTTTGTTTGATTTGGATACAGACAAAAGATTGACAATTGTAAAATAAAATGATCTGGTATATTGTATATTGTGTCTCCAAATGGATTCAATTCTGCAAGTATTTTACATGTAACAATGGAAAGAAATACCACACAACAATAATTTGCTTTTTCCCCCTTTTTCAGTTCCGCACATGTTTAAAGAAGATGCTGGGCATGAGCGCAAGCGATGATGAGGAGTCATCAAGTTCATCGGTCACTGAAGTTTCTAAAGTTGGACCTGCTTAGGTTGTTCACATTTCATGCTGCTGACATATATTGTAAAAAGGATTGAACTGAAGCACAGTATGGCAGGTGTAATGATATTATCATTACATATTAAGAGTTATATGCAAATAAAAATGTAAAAAAAAAGAACTAAATACATGATGACAGTGATTATTTCTGTCTTTACTAGGCTATTCATTTTGAATGTACACTTCCAAAATGTAATCTATTTTGTAGTCTTGTATTCTGTCCTGAAATCTTGTTTTTTGTTCAAGATGCACAATGGAGGTCACTTCAAAACCCATAGTAGTAACTAGTCAAATAACAAGCGAATGCTCCAAGTACATTAGAGTTTTTGTGAATGTATTTGAAAAGTTGCACAAATTCACTATTGTCATAGTAAAGAAATTGCTCACAACGCTGCATTGGTGTGTGTTATTAACTGCAGTTCTGTCGTCTTTAATTTGCTTCTTGTACAAAGATACATTTCCTTCCAGCTCATTGTCGATAATTTAATATCTCACATGTTTTCGAACATCAAAAATGAGTTAGAAAGTGATGATCCAGCATTTTTATGAAGTTTCTAAGTAAGGATAGAGCACACAGTATAAACATGACACAGGCTCTGGTGTAAATAACCAACAAAGCATTATTCATACAACAAAAATAAACTTTTCATATAAAATTATGATTTTTCTGTGAGAAGCATTCAAAAAGAAATCACCCATTCTTGTCTTCCCTATCACATGTAAACACATTAATGCATAGCAGGAAATAGTACCAGCTTCTTACTGCCAGTTTGTCTGAAACAGCCTCATTTATGGTTTAAAATATTAATAGTATTAGTAGCATGTGCATCTGTTCACCAATAACACACCATCTGTACATCCTTCACAGATTCATAGACGTACTCACAATATATATCAGGTCTCTGTGGTGTAAAAGACGTAGACGATAAGTTCGAAAAGCCTACAGATGGCGCCATACGTTTAAAAGAACAACTCATTCACAGGTGTTATCAAAACTATGGACACTGTACACATACGCTGCTTTATTTTGCACAAGATGACTTAGCACATGTACACATATAGCCACAAACAAGGCCACCTATATGTGCAAGCAAAGGATTAATGTCGTCTCAATGGCTTCCTACACTCACACACACGCACATGCATGTGCACACGCACATTGGATACACACACACACGTACATGCCCACACAAACACACACACACACACACACACACAAGTAAAGCACTAACTATCTTTGATGACTAATAATTGGATAAAGTTTGATAAGTTGCTACAGAAAGGAAATGATTTGATACGCACTTGATGCTTTCAATTTCTCTAACATTCTAAATGAAAGCGGGTTGAACCAAAGTAATCTTTGGCTTCTGCGTCACAGGTCCTTGTTGGTGTCGATCACAATATTGTATGAAATATAATATATAGTTCAACTTCACATCAAAATATAAATGTGAAAAATCTTCCTAAGCACATGAAAACAAATATGTCACAAAAAAGGCACTGATACAACTCGTATAACAATTCTAAACCTAGTAACTCATGCTGAAACATCAATAGTGAACATTCCTGCGCTGTTTTAGTTTTACCTGTGAAAATGAGGAACAATAAAACAAGCAGTCACATGTCGTCTGCTTGTCCTGGTGCTGAAAGAGATAGAAGGCATGATTCTAATCCATACTCTAAATCACTACTGGCACCATTACCCCTGGAATTTAGGCCACCATAGGTAATGTAAGCTGCAGGGAAAGGCAGAGGTAAAACAAAATAGTTTTGTTGGTTAGCCAATAACATCTCTGGACAACATAAGGCATACAAATCTGAGAGTAGGATTATTACCTGATGTAAAGTGAACAAGAGACCATAAGACAGGCAAAGGTGCACTCGGTTCACATCACACCAGTGTAATTATTTACACTCAGTAATTGTCACCACACATGTTGACCACCTGCTGCTCAAACGGCAAGTGAATAAACCACTTGTCCCCTGTTCACGGTGGTCAAGGCGATTCACGTCGGTAGTCGGGAGCAAATCCGAGTTCTGCTAGTAGTGAACTTTTACCAAACATGAATAGTTCAGAACTAGCGGAATTCCAGACCTACTCTCGAAACATCACAGGATCACATGGAAATAGGAGGAAAGAGGGGTAATAAAAAAAAGAATAAACTACTGCCAACTCCACCTCTTGGATGATGTGTAAATTTACAGAAGGTCTTTGAAAGCAAAAGCAATTGTATATTTTTAAATCGTCTTTAGTTCTGGCAGAAGAAAATTAAATTGCTTAAAGCACTATAATCTCAAGCAGTAAACAAAAGAAAAGGCAAATTGTCTTTTTTTAAATTTATCTATTTTACTCACCAACAAAACAGAGAATCATTTTAAAGTCGTAACAAAGAATGGTTTACAGATTTCTTCAGTGTCCATCCCTCTTCATCCTCTTCTCTGTGTGCCGTCCCTCCTGTCCCGTGTGGAGTTCTTATCCAATCTGCGTTACCTGTGCAAGACGTTGACTACAGAAAGACAGAGAATCAACGGATTAAAAGAAACCGAGGCGGCAGCTTTTGTCAACCTCTGCTCCTGAAGTGAACTGTTATTCCGGAGAGATTAAAGTGTTACGGAGTAAGCATGTCAGAAGTAATTACTCCGTGTTAATCTGTTTTGTGGAAGAACCTGAGTTGTCCGTTTAATCTGCTTTGGTCAGCTGAGAATAAGAAATCTTCAGCAGCATTTCACAGGTGAAGTAATTCACTCAATCATTCAGTTTATAAATAAAGGTAAAAATTCCATTAAACAGTATGATGTTGGTGGCTGCTTTTCTTCTCTATCTCAGATTACCCAGAAGACACTTGTACTTTGTAAAAGGAAAAGCACACATGCAGCTTGTAACTTTAACTTTGGCTCTGTCCTATTCAGGTGCCATTGTTGTCATTATTGTTGCTTTTAATGTTGCTGTCATTTTGTCTTCACAAAACCTTGAATGTGCAAACGTGTGAAACACTTCAAATTATTTACCTGCAGACTGTTGTGAAAGTGTTTCACGTTTTCAAAAGACTATTGTGTCTCTCTAATAGACTGCTCCAGCATCTTAACCTACATTATTTCATATAGCCAGAGGGCAGTGTTTACATTTGTTTAAAAAACATTATCTCTTGTATCAAATGTTCCAGAGATTTAAATGACACGTTTTGTTTTCTTAGAGAAAATTAAGCAATGAAGCAAATTGTGTGTAATTTATAGATAAAAAAAAGGCTTTGTTAATTTTTGGTAAGTGCATTTAGATTAAAGTCGCTTCTTTGTGCCAACATTAGCATCCTAATTGAAATCATAGTTATTGGGGATTACAGACCTTGTTAACCAAGCTCATTTGTAATATTCTTTACAGAGACAAAACAACCTCACCATGACCGAGAGCTTGAGGACAGCAGGGCTGATCCAGGGCATGCCTGCCTGAGCCACCCCTCTGAATAGGCTTTTCTTTAATAGGAAAATCAAAGGCCAACTCTTTCAAGTAGAGAGAGTGTGTCTTCCTCTCTGACTCAAACTGGAATATGTTTCCAAAAAAGGATCCTTATAATTAATCGATCAATCGGTGCAATAGGGCTTTGTGCAATCACACCAGCACTTTAAAGTTACAGGATCTAGGGCATTTGTGTCATTTACACCAGTACCTCATAATCATGTGCAACACTAAGCACTTTTGCACTTTAATGCTAAGGCACTTTACCTCCTTATGCAGGCACTCTAAGCACTTTACCTTTGAAGGTCACTTATCTGGGTTTGATTATAAAAAAGTGCACAGCCACTTTTTATGCTTGTAGCCTATATATGTGTCCCTGTCAACTTCTGGACAGTTTATAAATTTGTATCTTTGTGCATCACCAACTTGCCAAGCGACTACAGATGGAATTGAGCCTATGGCTACAATCTGGTATATGTTTTGGGCTTTTCATGCCTTTATGCCTTTATTGTAGAGATAGGACAGTGGATAGAGTCTGAAATCAGGGAAAGAGAGAGTGGGGAAAGACATGGAGGAACCACAGGTCGGATTTGAACCCAGCCCGCCTGCTTGGAGGACTATAGTTTCCATACATGGGGCACATGTACTAACCACTGCGCCACCAGAGCCCTATCCCTATTTTTAAATAATTTGATAAATAAAGGTTTTATTGTGGAAAGAGAGAACTATTTTATCTTTTGAGTTATTATTGTGACCAACCATTAATGGCTTTGTTGGTGAAAGTGTCATTACATTGTAGAGTTTACAGTGATCAAATGCAGGGAAGGTAAGATCTCTTTTCAACATGTTGTAAGCACTATTGCATCTGCATTGTGGACGCTTGAAAGCTGAATGGATGTATTGATACAGCCTGATATGAAGAAACACATGAATTAAGCAAAACATTTTTGCACCAGTTTTTCAGCACCTCTATAAGAAAGAATGTGACCATTTTTTGCAATGTTACATTGGGAAGAAGTAGTCCTTGGACAATGTTTTATGTAGGACTTTAAGGACATAACCTGATTAAAGATTACTCCTGGATTTCTTACTGTGGTGGGGGAGACAAGGGTAATGCCATTTAATCAATGACAAGTTAGACAAGAGCATGTCATCCCAATAAGCCAACTCCTTAGTTGGACACTGGGAACCCTGGGAACTGGCTCCTGTCTTTTTCTTTCTTATAATATAATCTTATAATGGGAAGATACTAAAAGTGATAAATAAGATCCCAAACAATGGAGCTATTGCAAAACAATTTGCAAATACGTAAAAAGATCCAATAATGCGTTCAGATATATGCACTGATCCAGAAATGCAGAAACAGAACCACAAATTCATGAATATATCAACAAATACATACACCGAGATCGATAAATGCTTACACAGATCTGCAAATATGTAGAGCAATTTGTATATGCACATATAATTATTAATGACTGCAAAGGTGCAAAGGTACGACACCTGTGCAGTGCACAGTGTTTCTCTTTATTTGAATCTGATTTTGCCCTGAACATTTCTTATACTGTGGGAATACTCAAACACATTTCAAACAGTGTGGCCTGTGTGTGTTCTGGTGTTATGGCAGAATGAAAGGTACATGTAACATGCAGCCAGTCAGAGCCTGGTCTATCCAAGAAGAAAGACTGAGTAAATAACAATGCACTAGCCTGCAGGTGTACCTGGCTCTTAAAGGAAATGAGAGCTGACACTGATCGGTTTGATTCATGCAACACCCAAAACACACTTGTGTATAACCAAGGAATTAATCAAACCTCTTTATGCCCTGCACCTCCGCACTGCTTAGTTGGCAAAACATTACACAAGACAG